TTTTTTTCTGACAGCTTTCTGTCTTCTCATTGTCAACACTCATTCCAATGACTCTTCTTTCATCTTCCTTGTCATTGAGAGTATCTATTTTTTTGTTTTCCTTTACAATAATTTTATTGAGGTCTCTGGAGAGGAAGAAGATAAATGTGGGGGTTAATCTTTCAACTTGAGCCAGAATCTTGATGTCATTTTAAAATGAGATGTTGTAGTATTTCTACTACATGAACCCAGACCCTGTCAAGTCACCAGAAAGACCAGGAAGAGTCTTGGGGTTCAGTGCAGGTTGACAAACAGAAGTCAGCCGGTGTTTTCCTGGAGTGGATCAATTTCCCTGTCCTCACCCAGGAGAGATGAGGTGTTATTGGGTTTACTACACTGTGCCAACTTAGCATGGCTGCCTCCTCTCTGGTTTGTACTCTTCTGACTTGGGGGGTGGAATGCTTCTCTTATCTTCTTGTAGGTACCATTGCCCCAAAAGAGTTGGAGAGAGTTGGAGTGAATGGAGAGAGGCTATGGTACTTACTGAGCCTTTACATCAGAGAAAGTTGGAGAGAAGTCAGGCACTGGCCCTCGGGGAACCCATCTGCTGGTAAACTCAAGTCTCTTATCGGCAGAAAAACAAAAGCAGTCTTCCTGGCTATTCTTTTTCATCAGAGAAGCCTCAAGGACTTTTTCTGGTGGTGTGTTCTGAGCTTTCTCACAAAGGTTGCCGGAGCTTACTTCTGGGAATTGTCAGAATTCCTTCCCTGTACTTCTGATTGTTCTAGAAACCCCAGCCTTGTCTGCCCCCTTCTTCAAAAGTCCTACCACTGTCAACGCACCCTCTTGCTTCCTGCCATGGCCTGTTCCTTTGATGCGGTATTGAATATGCCAGGCTCAAAGGGGAGTCTGGCACCATTCCTGCCCTTTGGGAGCTTCGAGGTGGTTCAGGAACAGCCAACATGGCAGCCTTCTTTGTGGGAAATGCTTAAAGGAGGCTGTTTGCGTGTTTGCGGTCAAGCTGTATTTGCATAGCAAGCACGCTGTTTCTGTCTTAGGGTTCCATAGAGAAACACAATCATACACACACACACACACACACACACACACACACATATATATGAATTTACAAAAAATTTAAACTAGTGTTTGATATAGATACTTATTTCTTAATATATCTGGGGAGTCCCTGGGTGGTGAAACTGATGGCTGCTAACTGAAAGATTGGCAGTTCAAGTCTACCCAGAGGGACCTTTGAAGAAAGATCTACTTTTCTACTTTCAAAAAATCAGCCATTAAAAACTCTGTGGAGGATAGTTTTACTCTGACAACATGGAGTTGCCATGAGTTAGAGTTGGCTTGACTGGTATATAATGTGTCTGGAGTATTTGGTTGTTTCCCTGGGCTTTTCTGTATTTTTAAGATATCTTTCCAGGCTTTGTTAACAAGAATTTGCCTGGGCGTCCTTGCTTAGCTCTCTCTAGCAGTGGCAATAATGAAGCAGCCTGTGGTATGTACCTTTGATGGGATGTCTATCCCAGAGACTGAAGTCTGACTTTTTAGATTGGTGGGGCCTTCATTCACTAAAAGCATCCATACCTACTGCAGGAGAGGCATTGAGCTGGGTGTGAGATTTCCAGAGATTTCTTGAGGGAGCAATTTCCCAAAGTCTGACGCAAGGGATTCTCTTTGCACAGCAAAGTACTAAGCGTGAAGTGAATGGGAAGGAGCGATTCCCTAGTCAGATGCCTGTTTCTTTTCTGTGGCAGGCGACGTCCTGCTGAGGTGAACATGAATCCCCAAGAGGGGCTGGAGCATGAGGCGTTTCCCAAACTACCTTCCCCAAGGAGAGTTAGTTTGTGTGTTTTAAACCACAGTGAGCCTGACAGACGGGTGCCCTTTTGAGCATGCTCCAAGCTATTCCGTCAGAGACACCAGGGCTGTGTCTGATACAGAACAAGGGGTCTTGTCTGATGTGCAAAGGAGGCAATCTACTCTGCGCCAGAGTTTGGGTGAAAGAAAGGCAATATATTGAGGTGCAATATATCAGGGAGCCAGGGAACTTGCCCAAATCTGCCTCCCAAGCCAGAGCTTGAGTCCCCATTTATAGGAGTCAGAAATAAAGAAATTATACATATTCAACAATTTTCTGGGAAATCTAACGCATATTCAAGCAAGGCGGGGACTTCTTTTGGACAGGAACTGGGCTTCGGACCCTTTGCTTCTGATGACCTTCCCTGAACTTTAGGTTGCTGCACTTTGGTTCCTTCTGGTCTTCTGACAGCACCTATGTTCCTGGAGGGTCATCCAAGGGACGCAGTCCTCTTTACTGAGCATGCATGGGGACCAAAGCTTGCTAAAATTAGTTCTTGTAATTTCCTAAGCCTCCTATCTTCCTGGTTCCTGAAACACACGATGATTAAGTACAAGCTAAGAGAGTGGTTGAGCACAAGCTGACAGTGGTTAGGCAAAAAGGGAGGGGGTTTATAAACTCAACCTTTATTGTTCCACATCCCCCAGAAATGGGTTTGGATTTCTGTAAGAGCTGCATTGGGGCAGCTATCTGGACACAGGACGTGCTTGCGGTCAAGCTGTATTTGCATAGCAAGCATGCTGTTTTTATAAGTTACTGTCTTAAGGTTCGATAGAGAAGCACAATCATATATGTGTGTGTGTCATTTTAAAATGAGATGTTGTAGTATTTATTATTACACACTCATTTATTATTACTTTTTACTTTAAGGAATTGGCTCATTCAATTGTGGGGCTAGTGAGTCCAAAATCCAAAAGTCAGGCAACAGGATGGAAATTCCAGTAGTCTTATGTTTAAAATCTGTCAGATAGGTTGGAAATTCTGGCAGTTCTATGTCCCAAAATTGGGAGGTCATGTGGTAGGGGAGAAAAGGGAATTCTGGCGGGATGTTTCTTGATAGTCTGGAAGCAGAATGCTTCCTCAGAAAGCCTCCAGTTTTACTTTTAAGATTTTCACCTGATTGGGTGAGGCCCACCTACATTATGGAGAGTAACCTGCTTTACTTAAAGCCAACTGATTTAATCACATGTAAATACTTCATAGAGGCATCTAGATTAGTGTTTGACCAAATAACGACACCATAGCCCAACCAGATTAATGCATAAAATTAACCATCACAGTTACCTATGACTTAAAATAGCAAAATGATCTAAAGATGATTTTAGATGTCAAATTTCTAGGTCAAAGTTTATTATCATAATTGGCTTTGTTTGGACTGGCGGAGATTTATGGGGACATTAAAAGACAAACACACTCCACACACACACCTTGGTGCCAGCACTGTCCCTGAACCATCACCATTTTCAAGAGTCCACAAGGCTGGGTGCCCTTGGACCAATTTCCCTCTCTGGGCTTTGCTTCTTCCAGATGAGGGGCTGGATGAAAATGGTGTTTGCAGCAACCTCAGAGTTCTCTGGCGCCCCCTTGTGCCCTACCTCAGCATCAACCTGAGCATCTCGGCTTCTGTCTGCTTTGTTTATGCTTCTGTAAAATGTTTCATTTGAACCAACAATTCCCAAAGCTGAAAAGTTTGGAAACCACAGGATGAATTGCTCTCTAGGGTCTGAGTCTGTTTCAGTTTAGGAAATGGTGCTTCAGTTCACAATAGCAAAGAAACAACCTAAGTGCCTATTCACCAAGGAATGGATAAATCAGCTGTGTGGTACATACACACAATGAAATGTTATACAACCCTAAAGAATCGTGTAGAATCTGCAAAACACTGCATAATATGGATGAATTTGGAAGACATTATGCTGAGTGGAATAAGTCAATGACAGAAGGACAAATATTGTATTAGTCCACTATTGTAAAAAGTCAAGGAAAGGTTTATATATGGAAGGAAACTTTCTTTGTTGGTTACCAGGGGTGGGAGGGGGAAAAAATTATATATGTATACATACACACACACACACACACACACCCCAAACATTATTAGTGGTTACCAGGGGTGGGGGGGGAGGGAGAAGCTTTTGTTGGGGGCATTGAGTTTATGCAAATGGTGATGGAATATTTTGGAAAAGGAGAGCAATAATGGTGGCACAACATGAAAAATGTCATCAACATCCCTGAGCTATAAATGGGGAAGTTGTTACGTTGGTGAATGTCTTGTTGTGTATGTTTTCACCACAATAAAAATTAAAAAGATCTTGATACCTGTGCGGTCATTACTGAGGACAACAGACGATGGCTGGTAAGTTTTCCTCAGAGGGCTCTACAAAAAATGTGATCTGTAAGATGGCACTTGGTGAGTAGCCTGGGCCATTGTCCCTCCGTTGTATTTTTAGGTACAAGTGACTAGTGACTGAGGGCCCTGTGTGGGGAGGGACTTGGAGACTCACCCCACAGGCAGCCTAAACACGTTTAGAGCACCAACCAAGCAAGGACACCAAAAATTTAATTTCCAAAAGCATAAAAATTTTCATCATGGAAAAAAATCAGAACTGTTTTGAACAGCCTCACATTTCCTTCTGTCTTGGTCTTGCTTGTGAATAATATGTGTGTGATAGGTGGGGCCCCTCTGCTAGTCAATGCTTTGGGCCTCTAAGGTCTTACCTGTCCTGGAGCCCCAAGAGTCTCTCTTTGGCATCTGGCTGACAGGTAGTTCCCTAAAAGTCTCCTTGTTTTTAACCTTCAGCTTCAGCCACAAGACCCTCTGCCTGCCTTGGGCAGATTCTTAAAATATTTACCCATCAGCAGCCTCTCAGAGAGGAATGTTAAATGCTGTCATGATGTCAGAGGGGCCCAAGGAGAAGGGCTTGAGCCAAACCCAGCCTGCCACTCACAGCATGGCAGAGTGGGAGATAAGCAAGGCAAGAGAGGACCTGTTCCTCTGGGCTCCCCAAGCGACCGGGCGACTGTGTGGTTGGCACTGTGGGGTGAAGCCGTTAGCTTCCCAGGACAATGAATTTCCAGATACCACTGAGGAAGTGAAAACCCGGCATCTGTGGTTCTTCCAATTCTCCGTCCTTTTCAAGCCTGCAACGGGATGTCAGGAGCCCCCAGGGAGGGTTTGGGGTCCCAGGAGCTGCCAGTGCTGGGCAAGGCTGGTCTAAATACCATGAACAAAGAGCTCAACAGGCTGAATGAGAAGGTCGACAAGCTCTTGCATTTTCAAGAAGATGTCTCGGAGAAGCTGCAGTGTGTGTGCCGTGGCTTGGGCCACTTAGAGCAAGGCCTTCACAGATTGGAGGCCTCCCAAGCACTGGGAGTGGCTCAGGTGGGCAGCGCTCCCCCAGCTGACCCTCAGGCAGGAAGCCCCGAGGTCCTGGTGCTGGTGAGGGCCGTGCGGCAGGACGCGGCCCAGCACAGCACCAGACTTGAAGCCCTCTACAGGATGGTGGTGGCGGTGGACAAAGCCATTGCTTTTTTGGGGACCGTGTTCCAGAACTCGAAGGTGGTGGATTTCATCATGCAAGGGAGAGTGCCCTGGAGGAAAGGAAGCCTGACTGAAAGCCCCGAGGAGGTTGGTTGCTGTTTCCCTGCCTTGGTGCCCTTCTGGCTGGAAGGGAGGCCCAGAGGCCCGGGTGGGGAGACTGGTCCGGACAGTTGGTCTCAGGAGAGCTGGGGGTGTTGTCCTCTTCTGGTGCCTCCTGTGTGATCTGTTGATGGGGAAGAGAGGCTGCCTCTGTTTGCAGACAACATTGACCTGCTTTGCCCAAGGAAAGGAAAGCAGCTCCAGGGAACCCAAAAGTGGGGACACATAGGCAATTAGTAAGAGGAGACCTGTTAAGTTTCCATGACATCCTGTGACTTCTTTTTCCCAAGGGCCCCTTTCTGCTCCATCACACCTGCGATGGGAGACAAGTGGAGAGAAGTCTGTTTGTCCTGACAAGATTTCCCCACTCAGAAACCCAAATCTGTCCCTTTCCCCCACTTTCCTGTCCCCAGCCTTGTGCTCTGCCCCAGAGTGGGTGGAGTGTGCAGCTGCCTGTGGGGATGTGAGTGTTGACAGTGACCCATGGAGGCTGACAGGCAGAGCCGGAGGCTGGGGGTGGAGGGTGGCATTTCTGGGAGCCGCTGTTCCCAAGGGTTGCATAATCAAACCTGCTGGCTAATGGAAGCTTGGCTGCAGGATAGATGGAAGGTGGGTGAGAGGCAACACCCTATTTGGAAACGGCTAAGTGGTCAGCCACTTAGCAACCCTCAGACGGGCTGGAGCCACCATTGCAAATCCCTCCAGTTACCAATGAGCCTCTGGCAGGAGATAAGATGGGGTCTGAAGGGGTCTGTGCTGACTCTGTGTCAGCTCCTGAGGATTTCAGGGGCAAGGCTGAAAGAGTTTGTCGCCTCCCCACCCACAGCCAGGCCAGAAATCCCACCCCACCCCTTCTACCTGCCCTGTGTGTGACGCTCCACTCTTGCATTGAAAGCCAATCTCAGCTTTTTAAAAAATTAATCTTATACGTATGGCATATATTGGAGTTGCTGGGTAGTGCAGTGGTTAACACACTTGGCTGCCAACCGGAAGCTGAGAGGTCCTCAGATGAAAAGCTTGGTGATCTCCTTCTGAAAAACCAGCCGGTGAAGACCCAGTGGAGCATGGTTCTGCTCCGACACACACGGGCCAGCATGAGTCGGAATTGACTTGATGGGCAACTGTTGTTTTTTTTTTCATTTTTAAAGAACATTTGTCTCCCTCCTACTCCATGCCTCCTTGTGCCCCTGCCTGGGCCCCAGGCCCCTTTTCCCAGGCAACCATAGGTCCCAGGTTACCATGAATCCTTCCAGTTATGATAATCTGTGCATATAGGTGCTGCCCCCTTTGCCTTAACTCATTTATTATTTACATTGTTGGCTCTGATTTTTTTTTTTTACATAATATATTTTAAACATTGTTTCATATTTGTACCTAGAAAGTTTCCTCGTTCTTTTTTCTTGTGATATTTGCAGAGTATTCCATTTTCTGGGTTATGTTTTAATTTACCAACCAGTCTTAAATTGTTGTTTGTATTATTTCTCATCTTTAACGATTATAAATGATGCAGTGAATATCCATAGATGTATGGTGTTCTGGTTACCTAGTGCCGCTCTGACAAGAATATACCACAAATGGGATGGCCTTAACAAATAGGAGTTTATTCTTACAATTTGGAGGCTTTAAGTCCAAGTTCAAAGTGCCAGGCTCTAGGTGCTGGGTGAAAGCCCCTCAACCTTGGGGTCCAGCTCTGCTTCCTGCTCCCGGCCCACTGGAGCCAGAGGCGTTTCTTCCCTCAGATGCTGCTGGCTGCTGAGGCTGAGAAACTTCTAGGTTGACAAGTAAAAAGGCACAGTCCCGATGTTACCAAGCCACACGGCAGGGCGTGTGGTTTACAATGGACTTAAGTCCATTGTAAGTCCCAAGGTCGGCAGAGCAGAGCAGGCTGCTAAGCAACGATACGGCTACACACAGGGCCCAAGTGTGCCATAGGCTAGAGACCATTCCCAAGGCTGCTCCTTATATACAGGAAGCAGACCCCATCCCAAAGGCAGCTACTCAGCTGCTTGTGGTAGATCCCACTATGGAGCTGATTGCCAGTCTCATCATGGGGAATAACTACCACCAGCTGCCCAGCCACTCAATCAGGCCCAACCTAGTTGACACACAAACATAACCACCACATATGGCTTTGAACACAAATATGAGTTTGTCTGCAGGCCTTCTTAGAGGAGGAAATGCTAAGCCAAAGGGTAAATTTGTATGGATAGAGCCAAACCCACCTTCAAAGACTAACATTGCAGTTCAGTCTCCTACTAGTAACATGGGAATGCTTGTTGCTCCACTTTTTGATTCTGAAGGAGGAACAATAAGATACTATTGTATATATATATTTTAATGTTTTAGTAGGAAAAGTATTAAAGAGATAAAAATAGAGAGATTAACATAATGAACACTGTGATGTGATCCCCCAGCATCAATTATCATTAACTGGCAACCAATCTGTTTCCCACCCACTTTCCCCCTCCAGATTATTTTGGAGAAAATCTGAGACGTTGATTATTTCTTCTATAAATATAAAAGATAAGAACTCATTTTGAAAACACCATCACAATATCATTATCCTACCACAAAAGTATGGGAAGCTCTGGTGGTGTAGTGCCTAAGGCATTTGACTGATAGCCAGAAGGTTGGTGGTTCAAAAGTGAATGATGATTTTATAATGCTAGATTTCACTAATTGCTTTATCCTTTTTTAAAAAAAAAAAAAAATTTTCATTATTTGAATCAGGATCCAAATAAAACCCATACATTGCAATTGGTTATACGTCTCTTAAGTATAATTTTTTAAAAATTCATAAAAAATGTTAAAACTTTTTACTATAGAAAATTTCAAACATACCCAAACTAGATAGACTGAAGTAACTCATTGTGGTTTTAATTTGCATTTCTTTTACTAGAAATAAGATTGTGCCTCTTTCATCAGTTTAAAACATTTTGTGCTTTTTTGTGGATTACCTGCTCATGTCCTTGTCCCTCTTTTCTATTTTGACCTTGGGCCCTTTTCTTATTGATTTGTCAGAGCTCTTTATATATTAATGAAATAAGCTGTCATACATGTTATAGATACTTAGGCACTTCTGGACAGGGGAACATCATAGAACTTTCTCTTTTCTGAATCCTTGCAACGTTTCTTATTTATACTGCTCCATTGGCATTTGATTAATATCTCTTCTGGTCCTTGTATTTAATATAATACACATATCAGCAGCTGTCTGCAGCTTTGGGTCTAGTCTTGCAACCATGCAGTCAACTCTTTATTGGCCTATGACATGAGGCCTCTACGTTCCTCCCTGGACTGAGGCAAGAGCTGGTCGTGTAGGAGGTGCCCTGAGACTGGGTAGTGAACTGAGAAACAATCACAGCTTTTAACACATTGTCAGTGCTGAAAACTGCACATTATGGAGACTGTTTCTAATTTAATTGTGCTTTAGGTGCATATTTACAGAGCAAAATTTTTTTTACATTCAACAGTTCATGTGCATTTGATTTCACCCCCCAATTACCATCCCCGACCGTAACAAACTCTCCTCCCCTCCCGTCCCTGTGTCTACCCCTCCCTGTGCCCTTCTCAACTATGCACCCCTGTCTGTCCCTCTGTGTGAATGCTGGGACTGTTTTTGCATCTCCTAAGCCTACTTAGGGAGCTCTGGTAGCTAGTGCCTAAGGCACTTGACTGCTAACCAGAGGGCTGGCGGTTCAAACCCACCAGCCACTCCTCAGAAGGAAGATGGGGCAATCTACTTCCGTAGTGATACTGCCTTGGAAACCCAAGGAGGGGTTGCTATGAGTCGGGGCTGACTACTTCCTTAGTGATACTGCCTTGGAAACCCAAGGAGGGGTTGCTATGAGTCAGGTCCGACTCGACAGCCCATAACAACAAGAAGCCTGCTTTGAGAGTAACCAAAAAACCAAACTCGCTGCCGCTGAGTCAGATCCGACTCATAGCAACCCATCCTTGGGTTTCCAAGGCAGTATCACTACGGAAGTAGATTGCCCAATCTTCATGGTAATCATTTGTGGCGTTGAATTAAATCCTAACACTGGCTGTTAAATTTGAAAATTGTGCCAGGACTTTGTGAAAGACTTCCTTGGATCATCTAAGTGTGCAGTGACACTTTATTTAGTTGTTAAAATAATTAGATTACTAGAAGTCAGGTGCTCTCTCCAGCTGAAGCTCCCCCAGAAGTAGGCCCCAATCCCAGCCAAGTTGTTCAGGCAACATCGGCCCTCTTGAATGGTGTTTGGGGTTTCTTCTACTTCCTCTGGATATGCTGGTTGAGGCAGGGACCAGGAGGTTGAGCCTTCAGGACTTCTGGATCCAGAACTCGGCTCTGTGTGGTGTGTATTTTGTGTTCGTATGTGTGCATGCACATGTGCGTACTTTAAAGACAGAGGGAGAGAGGACATTTTGAACTCAACAAGGTCTGCCAAAGGACAGTGTGTGCAAGTCCCTCTCTACAGGGGGTGGGAGGGGGTGAAACAGGAGGAGGCTGGTGATAATACCTCCAGTTCCCTCAACCACGGGGAGGCGGCAGGACTAAGACTCGGAAAGAGGCCAAGGCAGTCCAGGTCACATTGATGATGATGGTGATGACCTTGATAGCAGCAGCTTAAATTCATTTATTAAGTGCCTACCACGTGCCAGGCCCTGTGCTAGGGGCTTTCCGTGTGTTATGTCCTTACATTTAGAGGGCAAAGATTGATGTTCTGGAATTCAAGGGATGGAGCAGGTACTAATAGGATTGAGAGAAGTGGCATGGTGTAGGATAAACAGTGGCCACTCAGTCCTTGAGTCAAGGAGAGGGAGGATGCTGATGCCCCATTTTACAGGGAACTGTTACAGAGATTTTAGCCATAGTGGCCTAGAGTTGCCAAATCTTCAGATTTATCAAGAAAAGCTGAGAACCTAGAACTTTTTTCTAATTAATTTTGTTAAGGTATGATTGTATAACATAAACTGCACATACATATAATGTATAGCTCTGGTAGCATAGAGGCTAAGGCACTTGACTGCTGACCAGAAGGCTGGTGGTTCAAACCCACCAGCCACTCCTTGGAAGGAAGATGGGGCAATCTACTTCCATAGTGATACTGCCTTGGAAACCCAAGGTGGGGTCGCTATGAGTCGGGTCCGACTCGATGGCACATAACAACAACAACAACACATGCATTTTAAGTATATGGTTCAATAAACGTATACACCGATCACCCCAGAAGGAAACCTTGGATTTTAATGTAAAATCTGCTAAATTTTAAGTATTGGTAAAAATTAAAATTTTAAAAATGCTGTGAAAGCCAAACAAGATGCATCTCCAACCGTCTTTGGCCTCAGGGCAGCTAGTGAAACTCCTTTGTGGCAAAGCCAGATGTCCCTGGGTGGTGCAAACAGTTTGCACTTGTCTACTAATCTAAAGGTTGGCTGTTCGAACCCATCCCGCTGCACCGTGGAAGAAAGGCCTGGTGATCTGCTTCCATAAAGTTACAGCCAAGAAAACGCCATAGAGCATGGTTCTGCTCTGTAACACATGGGGTCGCCGTGAGTTGGAACTGACTCAAAGATAACAGATTTGTTTTATGTCTGTGTTGTGTGTGTGTGTGTGTGGCAAAGCCAGGAGAAAGGCCCTTTGGTGGTGAGTGACTTGGGACCAAGGGGCCTGGACTGAGCTCTGGGATGCTGCTGTGACAAGGAGCTTTACTGGTCAAAGGCTCCATACTCACAGAAGCATCAGGGCCACCCAGCCAGGGATTCGTCCATTTGGAAATACGTGTTTGAGGGTTCGCTGTGGAATTGTGCTGGGACCATGGTCAGTGCTCTGGACTGTTTCAGGGTCAATGCATGAGCTGTAGGCACTGGTCTGGGTGTGGACCGGCCAGAATTACCCAAGAGCTGCTGAGAGTTTCTCAGTGCCAGTAACCGGCTGGGTGTCCTTATACATATAGCACTGACAGCTGTTTGTCTCAGGCAGGACAAAATCACCAGAGCTACTGGGCACTTAGCTCTCTCAGGACATTTCACATATCAACTCATCCTATCCTCTCAATGGTGTGTTGTTGTCATGTGCCGTCGAGTCGGACCCAACTCATAGCGACCCCTCCTTGGGTTTCCAAGGCAGTATCACTACAAAAGTAGATTGCCCAACCTTACTTCCGAGGAGTGGCTGGTGGGTTTGAACCGCCAGACTTCTGGTTAGCAGTTAAAGCCCTCAGGCACTACGTAACCAGAGCTCCGTATCCTCTCATTAACATACCCCAAACCAAACCAAAGCCGTTATTGTAGAGTCAATTTAGACTCATAGCAATCCCCATTGGGTTTCCAAGCCTGTAAATCTTTACAGAGGTAGATTGCTTCATCTTCCTTCCATGGAGCAGCTGGTGGGTTTGAACTGCTGACCTTTGGGTTAGCATTCAAATGCCTTACCCACTGTGCCACCAGGGCTCCTTCAATAATCTAACAGGGACATAATATTATTATCCCCATTTTACACATGAGGAAACTGAGACTCAGAGAAGTATGTTGGCCAAGGGGTGAACGTAGGAGTCACACTCAAAAAGTCTGAGTCTATTCTGCTAGATACTACTGCTATGCTGTAAAAAAAGCCATCATAAGGCCCCAGCTGCAAAGCAGGCTTTATTAATTTCCTTCAAGCATGGATTTAGTTGACTTCAGAATTCAACTCACACTCCAGTAACCTCAGCCAATTGATCAGAATTGGAATTTTAAGATTAAGTTTCTTTTCCATCCCTAGGCTAAGTCCTTTGAGGTCCAGTCTCTTGAAATCCCCCTGTTAGGGCTGGGTCAGTCCCCCACCGTCAATACCGTGATGCACTGGGAAGAGCTTAGGCTCCAGATTTGAAACTGGACTCCTCCTCTTTTAAGTTTTATGAGCTTGCAAAAGTGTCAGTGTCTTTACCTCTAAAACAATAGTGATAATGTCTACTAACCCAAAGGTGTGATGTTTGAGTCCAGGCAGAGACTCCTTGGAAGAAAGCCCTGGCAGTTTACTTTGAGAACCAGCACTGAGAACCTTACGAAGCACAGCTCTACTGTAATACATAAGGGGCTGCCATGGGTTGGAATTGACTCAACAGCAATTGGTATTTGAGGGCATTGGTGGTTCAGTGGTAGAATTCTTGCCTTCCATATGAGACACCCAGGTTCGATTCCTGGCCAACACACCTCAAAAACAGTGACCACTCACATGTCAGTGGAGGCTGTGTGTGGCTGTGATGCTGAACAGGTCTCAGTAGAACTTCCAGACTGAGACAGACTAGGAAGAAGGACTTGGTGACCCAGTTCTGAAAATCAGCCGGTGAAAACCCTTTGGGTCACAGCAGTTCCATCTCATTGCATGTGGGGTTGCCATGCGTCCTGGGCTGACTTGACAGCAGCTAACAACAACAACAACAATATTATCGTAAAACTACATGAACTAACCTAAGTATATCTTAAGTGCATGGCGGGTGCTCAACAACTGTTTATGGCCTCAATGATGATGTTGATGATGCTGATAGTTCTTATGGTTGTTGTTTTAGAACAAAGAGAAAGTGGAAGAGAAAGGAGCAAAACCAAAGCATGTGCTGAGCACGAGAGGCGTGCAAGCCGAGATCAAGGGGCCGCGGGAAGGTGAGTGGGGTCCCACTTGTTTTATCCCACCTTACACACACAAGAGCTTCCGAATAAAAACAGCAACACCATCACCACTAGTGTGATTACTGGAAAATCATTGCAGCTGTTTTTCCTCCTGTTCATTTATGTATATCCCACTAGAGGGAGAGACAGTCAACTGCTATGTTTTAAAGCCACTTGGAATAGATACTCTGCATATAAACTATGCTACCCACTGAATACCCACGTTTATTTATGCCACTTTGCTTTCAGTTTTCATAGGTTCATTTTTATAAATATTTACAAAATATGGGTTCTAAGTCTAATTAACAAAACAAGGTCAATTAAGAGAATCTAACTTCTATCCTAGTTCCCTGTACCCTGTTTCCTTCCATCATGATATGTAATCACTTAAAAAAGTTTTGGTCTTATCTTTCCATTATTTTTTATTGTAAACATTATATCACACACACACACCCTCCCTTCTTAGACTAACAGACGCATACGTCAGTTTCCCCTACCTTGCTCTTCCACTTACAGTATATCCTGAGATTACCTCATTGCAGTGTATAGAGAATAGTTTTTCCTTTTTTATGGCTGTGTGATACTCCATTGTGTGGATGTACTACAGTTTAGCCAACAACTCCTACTGATGGCCTTTGAGGTTGGGTGTAGTCTTTGGCTATCCTGAACAGGGATGCACCAAAAGACCTTGTACATGTTCTTTGCGATACCCTTGGGATAGATTCCTCCAAGTGGGATCTTCTTAAGAGGCCCTTTTCATCTTGTCTCTTTTCCTATAGAGACCCAGAAGGCAAACTTGTCAGAGGGGATAGTGAAGCAGCTGCCTCCCATCCATGCTTCAGGGATGGGAGCAGAGATCCCCACCAAGGCAGGGCCCTCACCAGGGCAAAGAGATGGAGTTCCTGGCCAAGGCCAGATGCCACCTGATCACCTGCTGCT